AGAGAGAGAGAGACCCTCTAAAAGCCCAGGAGACACTCCTGTAAGAAACGCGAGAGCTGAAGGGATGACTCTGTGATGCAGAATGAACTTCAGCGGGTAATAGTGTCGGGTTCCTCCACTGAAGCCTCTGTAACTGAGATTCTGACAGGAGATTCACTGAGATCATGAGTTCCCTCTGAACTCGCCGAATCCAAGCAGTTCCTGCTCTTTATTAACAATTCCATTAATATGGCTGTAAAGATGGTGTTTTATGTCTATAGTGTGTTATGTGCATTAGGATGGTTTAAATCATACTTATCTGACCGTTATCAGTGTGTAGCAGTAAATGAAGAGATGTCTTATCCATCACGAGTTCAGTATGGTGTCCCACAAGGCTCAGTACTAGGACCGCTGCTGTTCACTCTGTACATGCTGCCATTAGGAGATATCATTAGGAAACATGGAATTAGCTTTCACTGTTATGCTGATGATAGCTGTATATTTCTTCAAAATCTAACCAAACTTACAAACTCACAAAATTAACAGAATGCACAGCTGATATAAAAACCTGGATGACTAGAAATGTCCAACTACTAGATTCTGAAAAAACAGAGATTATTATTATTGGACAAAACTTCCACACGTAACAGCCTAGAATACTGTCCAACACTCGATGCTGCTCTGTTAAGTCTTCATCGTCAGTTAGGAACCTGTGTGTGTGTGTGTGCTCTTTGATATCAATCTCTCATTTGAAAGTCACGTGTCCTGTATCTGTAAAATCTTAAAAATATCTCAAAATATGCTCTCATTGACGAATGCGGAACAGTTAGTTGATGTGTTCATGACATCAAGGCTAGATGAGTGTAATGCTCTACTGGGTGGTTGTCCTACACGCTTAATAAACAAACTCCAGCGAGTCCAAAACGCAGCCGCTCCAGTTCTGACCAGAACCAGGAAGATTGACCATATTAGCCCGGTTCTGTCAACCCTGCATTGGCTGCCTATTAAACATCGGATACATTTTATAATATTGCTGATAACTTATAAAGCACTGAATGGTTTATCTCCGCAGTACTTGAGCGAGCTCGTAACGCATTATAGTCCTTCACGTCTATTGCGATCTCCAAACTCCGGCCAGTTGATAATACCGAGAATATCAAAATCGATCCTTTTCCTATTTAGCACCAAAACTCTGGAACAATCTTCCTAACATTGTCCGGGAAGCAGACACACTCTGGGTCCGTTGTTTGGCTGGCGGTCTCCTCGTGCCTGGATAGATCTCGGGGTGGCCAATCACGTGGTGTGTTGGCGGATGGATGAAATTTTTTGAAGTTCGGTAGGAAGGAACCATTCTGGTGGTGGTGGGGAGGATGGAGGTCAATGAAAGCGTCAGCATCTGTGAACCGAAAGTATTAGACACGATTGGATAGATGAGAAGGTAATTAGTGACGCAACGATTGAGTCTTCCTGGCAGAACCTAATGCTAAAGCTTCCTTCTCCTGTGGGTCCATCTCTGAACCAATCAGTCTTTTCCAAACTATCTAACTTTGACCAGTTCGTCCTCTCTTTACGCTCATCTCTTAGCGTAAAGTTCGTAAAGTTTAGCGTAAACAGTCTTTATGGTTCTGGGATGCTGTTTTTAGGTCTGGACTGTTGAATTCTGTTTGACTGAATCACATGGAAGATTCATTTGTGTTTGACTGAATCATATGGAAGATTCGTTTGTGTTTGGTTCATCCTCTTCTTTTCTTGGAATCCAGAGTGTTTATGTGTGGTTCTTCCAATAACAGCAATGAAGCGTGTTAAAATCAAACACACGTTCATCTGACAGCTGTCTCTAGTGTCTCTGACTCACACACTGATTAATCACACACACACAGAGAATATTAACACACCCAATGCTCTTCATTATCGGCTGGATTCATTATAATTCATCACTGGACACAAAGCACATCAGTCAGTGTGTTCTCTGCAGTGTGTGATTGCCAGTGCGGGTTGCTAGGGTGCCTGTGTGGTTGCTAGGCGTGTTATTGCAGTCTGCTGGTTTGTAGATGTGACTCTTCCATTAGTTCGTGAAGTTAACAGGTTTGAGTCAGTGTCCTGAACTGAACACACTCGGCAGCTCCCAGCATGCAGTGCGGCGTCAATTAATTACGCAGATGACTGTTTGTTTTCACGTTATTACGATGTGCTGATGATTATTACTATTATTATTATTAGGCCATCACGACATGTTTCTGTGTCAGAGAGTGTGATGGTGTGATGGTGTGTGTGATGGAGTGAGAACGAGCGTCTCCTGCATCCGTGTGTACCCTGCGGCTCTCTCTCATTTCAGTCACGCTTCATATTCATGAGGAAAAGGAAATGAGATAGTGAGGATAGTGAGGAGAGAGACTCAACATGTCTCTCATTCCCGGCAGCCATTTTACATCCTCTCTTTGTTTCTGCGTTCGTCTGGTTTCGACTCGGCTCGATTGGGTTGGGATGACGTCGCTGCAGAGACATGATGAAAGGAAGCTCGCTCTCGTTCTCCTTCTCTGAAGCCACTCAGGGCCTTCCTCTCTCCTCCTCCTCCTCCTCCTGGCTCAGTTTCCCATGAGGCTCTTGTACTTCCTCTGATGTTTTTCCTCTGACAGTTAGTGTCTGCCAGATACTACGAGCAGCAGCCGGAGCTGAAGCGGGTCCGGCCCGAGGGAGGCGAGGAGCGATTGGGCTCTGAATCAACTCTAAACGGCTGCTTGTTTCTGAATCGGTGGCTTGTGACGGAGTTTCTTGGCCAGGTTGTAATTGTGGAGGTGTGGCTGATGATTGATGCTCGAGAGTCTTCACGATCCTGCTGCTTTGATTTCTGTCTTTCGGCTTGTTCTTTCTATTCTTCCAGGATGAATTATTAGCTCTTTTTCCCGCTGACATTCAACTTTCATGCGTTCAACATGACTTTCAACTTTCCTGGACCTCAAACACTAGAGGATAGGGCTGTAGCATTGGTTCGATTCCCAGTGAATGCACGAACTGATAGAAATGTGCACCTTTAAAGGTATTATATAAATCCATGGCGTCCCCAGAATGTGTGTGTGTGAAATTTCAGTTTAAAATCATTTATTATAGCTTGTCGAATTTGCCCCTTTTTGGGTGTGAGCAAAAACACGCCATTTTTGTGTTACTCCTGACCCTGGATCAGTGAGATCCACCTTTGTTGTTATTGCCAGAGTCTCTGAAGCTTGTGTGAAGCCTCCGCCCTCTTCCGAATGGAGGTGGAGCTAAAGCTCATTTGCATTTAAAGGGACACACACCAGCAGCTTTAGCTCCGCCTTCCCGAGAGACTCAGGGAGAGCTTCACTTTTACACGTTTCTGAATGTTAGCGGAGACGTTTGTGTAGTTGTTGTGGAGTTCCACTGATCATCTCATCATCATGTTGAACTCTTCCACAAGTGTCCACAGTTCCTGAGACAGTGTTTATAAGACAGCGGTGACGTGTTCTGCTCAATAGTTTCACAGTATCAATCAAAACAATGTTCGTTTCTTAGTGGAAAATATCCACGTTTGGTAGAGTTGAACAAGGGTATTAATGATTGGTTAATTAATTTGAATATTGTTAGAACTGGGCGCTCGCCGAACCCAATGTCGCTGGTGTGTGTAAATATGCAGATGAAGGGGCGGGGATATTATAATAAGATCCTCTTCATACGTCAGAAGGAGTGAAATGTGATGGGCTTATTTCAGATCATGCTCTCAGAGAAACACTCACCAGAACACAGTTACTGGGTTTCACTGTTCATGTGTTCTGGGATGATAGAAGGACCCGATTACAGCAGATTATAGCACACGGAGAAAGACAGATTTCCATGATGTGCATTCCCTTTAAGTGTGGTTTTAAGGGCCCTATCTTGCACCCAGCACAAATGTCTTTGTACACCGATGCATGAATCATTCCTATTTTACTTTCCCCTCCACAGACGCACGTCGGTAAAACAGCGAATGAACTTGCGCTCCCTGGGCGGGTCGGCACTAAAAGGAGGTGTGTTTCGGCGCAAACAATCCCTGGTGCTGTTTTACAGTTCCAGAAATCAACCAGAAAGCACCTGATCTAGAGTCAGGGGCGCGTTGCAGTCATCTATGTATTATATGTCTTTATTGTCCACCAAGGTGCGCACCAGCACATACAGGCAAACAAAACAAAACAAAACATAGACACATTCTCATTAAATAGATAAAATAAAGTTCATGCCACTGTCATTTGGTTTATCAATCACTCATGGCATTCAGAATATTAATAATATTTGGAATAAAAGATGTGTATTCGCTAGGGATGCAGCAGCAATCATCATCATCATCATCATCATCACTCCAGTCGTCAGTGTCACATGACCCTTCAGAAATCACTCTAGAATGGTGATCTGAATCTCAAGAAACAGTTATGATTATTATCAGTTGAAAGCAGTGGCTTTATTGGGAAACCGTGATACATTTTTTTCTTTAGGATTCTTTGATGAACAGAAAGATCAAAAGAACAGCATTTATTTGAAACGAAAGTCTTCTGTACACTTTAATGTGTCCTTGATGAATAAGCTCATTTTCCTACAGTATTTTTGCATGAACTCTTTCTATTTTTTATTTCTCACTTACTGTTTGTGTATTGCTGATATTTTTACTTGTTTATATATTTTGTCAACAGCATGTTGGAATTGTGGAAAGCGCTTTAGCATTGGGAGTAATGTAATTATCATCATGGGGAATCTGTTGTGTCTGCTGGCCTGTTTTTGAAGATGTGTGTTGGATGGATGAGACTCTGATGAAGGTTACGCATTCTCAGGTGCTGATTGATCTGAGCCAGACGCTTGGAAACTCTTGAACACAATGACTGATTAAAGCAGATGGAAGCACACATGAGCTCAGCGTCGCCTCATTACATGAGCAGAGATGCAGTGACCTTCAAACATTCACATGCACTCGCTGCTCATGGTCTGAACAGTAAACAAGGCTTGTTTCATCTAACACCGATCCTCTGTGTGTGTTTCAGCTGGGACTACCTACATCTTCGGCCGCGGAGGAGCCCTCATCACCTACTCGTGGCCCCCGAACGACCGGCCGAGCACGAGGGCCGACCGGCTGGCGGTGGGCTTCAGCACTCAGCTCAAGGAGGCCGTCCTGGTGCGGGTGGAGAGCGCCAAGAGCCTCGGAGACTATCTGGAGCTTCACATAGTAAGAGTGATGCCTGGGGACCTGAGGGGGTGGGGCTTACAGTGACTGTATGTTTGAGGGCGTGGCTTATAGTGACTGTATGTTTGAGGGCGGGGCTTATAGTGACTGTGTGTTTGAGGGCGGGGCTTACAGTGACTGCGTGTTTGAGGGCGGGGCTTATATTGACTGTGTGTTTGGGGGCGTGGCTTATAGTGACTGTATGTTTGAGGGCGTGGCTTATAGTGACTGTGTGTTTGGGGGTGGGGCTTATAGTGACTGTATGTTTGAGGGCGGGGCTTATAGTGACTGTGTGTTTGGGGGTGGGGCTTATAGTGACTGTATGTTTGAGGGCGGGGCTTATAGTGACTGTGTGTTTGATTGCGGGGATTATAGTGACTTTGTATGTTTGAGGGCGGGGCTTATAGTGACTGTGTGTTTGGGGTCGGGGCTTACAGTGACTGTGTGTTTGAGGGCGGGGCTTATAGTGACTGTGTGTTTGAGTCCGGGGCTTACAGTGACTGTATGTTTGAGGGCGGGGCTTATAGTGACTGTATGTTTGAGGGCGGGGCTTATAGTGACTGTGTGTTTGGGGGTGGGGCTTATAGTGACTGTATGTTTGAGGGCGGGGCTTATAGTGACTGTGTGTTTGATTGCGGGGATTATAGTGACTGTGTGTTTGAGGGCGGGGCTTATAGTGACTGTGTGTTTGGGGGCGGGGCTTACAGTGACTGTGTGTTTGAGTCCGGGGCTTACAGTGACTGTGTGTTTGGGGGCGGGGCTTATAGTGACTGTATGTTTGTCATGTCATGTCATGTCATGTCATGTTTATTTATAAAGCACATTTAAAAACAGCTTCCGCTGACCAAAGTGCTGTACATATAAAATCAGTTAATCAAAACAATCTCAAAATAATAAAATACAATGGATCATTACGTAATAGAAAATAAAACATAGTAGAACGGCCAAAGTAACCTGCTTAAACAGTGTTGAACGCTATGGAAAACAGGTGTGTTTTTAGACTGCTTTTAAATTGCTCAACAGATTCTGCGGATCTAACGGAGATAGGTAGGCTATTCCAGAGCCGTGGTCCTACCACTGAAAACGCTCTGTCCCCGCGGGTGATGAGCCTAGTTTTCGGGACAGTCAAAAGGAGCTGATCCGCTGACCTTAATGCTCTGGCGGGGGTGTAAGAGTACAGCATATCGGAAAGATAAGGTGGTGCAGTATTAGTTAAACATTTAAAAACTATTAATAAAATTTTAAACTGCACTCTAAAAGATACAGGGAGCCAGTGTAATGAGGCCAGTACAGGGGTAATTTGGTCCCTCTTTCTTTTCCCTGTCAGAAACCGAGCAGCCGCATTCTGTACCCCTTGGAGGCGGCGGAGAGAGCGCTGTTCGAGTCCGCAGTACAAGGAATTACAGTAGTCCAGCCGCGATGTCACGAAGGCATGGACTGCTCTCTCTAGGTCTTTCTTGGGGAGATAGGGCTTGATTTTACTTAAAAGTCTTAAATGATAAAAGCTACTCTTTACCACTGCACTGACCTGTTTGTCAAATTTAAAACTACAATCAAGAATCACTCCTAAATTTTTTGTGCTTGAGCGAGAGAATGTATCCAGTGGGCCGATAGCACTGTCCCAGCCCTGCAGACAGTTTGGTTTCCCAAAGACTACAATTTCGGTTTTGTTTTTATTAAGACTTAAAAAATTTGAGTCCAACCATAATACCACCTCCTCAAGACAGTTCTGTAAAGTTTTAATCGCAGTAAGGTCGTTTAAGTTCAATGGGAGGTAGACTTGAACATCGTCTGCAAAGCAGTGAAAGGCCACATTGTGTTTCCTAAAAATGGCCCCGAGCGGAAGCATATAGAGTGAGAATAAAACAGGGCTTAAAATTGCACCCTGGGGCAGGCCGTAATTTAGTGACAATGTTGAAGAAGAGTGGTCACCAAGCTGAACCGAGAAACTTCTGTTAGATAAAAACGATTTAAACCATTGCAGGGCAGTACCCTTAATGCCCGCGCAATGCTCTAAGCGCGATAGGAGTGTGGCATGGTCTACAGTGTCAAATGCGGCTGTTAAGTCTAAGAGCACCAGAACAGTAGATTTGCCTACATCAGCAGCTAAAAACAAATCATTTAAAACTTTTAAAAGGGCTGTTTCTGTGCTGTGCTGGGATTTAAATCCAGATTGGAATAATTCAGTGATTCCATTTTCATCAAGGTGAGGCTGTAATTTATCATATACAACTTTCTCTACTATCTTAGACAGGAATGGAAGTTTAGAAATTGGTCTAAAATTTGATATCACAGTAGGATCAAGGTTTGTTTTTTTCAGCAGGGGCTGGACCACAGCATGTTTGAAAGCCGCTGGAAAGCAGCCAGACAGCAGTGAAGAATTAATAAAATCCAAAATAAGAGGACCAATTGTCGGAAATACCTCTTTAAAGAGGCGTGATGGAATAATGTCAAGAGGACAGTTTGAAGGCTTCATCTGCTGAACAACTTTGGTTAAATAAGACAGAGACACCGTCTCAAAATGATCAAACACAGCCGCACTTGGACACAGTATCTGAGGCTCAGACACATAGGGGGTGAGAGAGGACCTAACAGCACACACCTTTTCATGGAAAAACAGCAGAAATTTGTCGCATAATTCAGTTGAAGCTTCAACGTCAGCACAATCACAAGGGTTTAAAAGAGAATTTAACATTTTAAAAAGAAGCTGTGGCTTATGGCTGTTACTGGAAACCAGATTGGATAAAAACTGAGTTTTTGCAGCTTTAACAGCTTTCTGGTAATCTAACAGGCTGTTTCTTAATATTTCATAGGACACTTGCAAACGGTCCTTTTTCCATTTCCTCTCTGCGCGTCTGCACGCATGTCTATGTGCGCGCGTGACATCATTCAACCATGGCTCCAATACTGGTTTAGATTTTTTACTTCCCAGTGGAGCTACTTCGTCCAGCAAGTTCGAGCATTTCGAGTTGAAAACACCAAGCCATTGATCAACATCTACATTCTCTATGTCACACATATGAAATAATGAGTCATCAAAAGCGCATAAAAAGCGCGAGACAGTCTGGCTATTTATCGTGCGCACCCGGCGCGCTGGGGCACACGGTTTATCCACGGCGCCAGGCAATGTAACAGAGAACAGTATTGCAAAGTGATCCGAGATGCCGGAGTTGCAGATTTCCTCTATGTTTACGGTTAATCCAAAGGACAGCACAATATCCAGTGTATGACCCTTCTCGTGTGATGCCCCAACCACCCATTGAGTGAGATTAAACGAATCAGTCATTTCTAGAAAATCCTTGGCCAACTGGTTCGATTTACAGCAGACATGGACATTCATATCCCCTGCTATTAGAAAATGGTCATAGGTAATAGTTAGCTCTGCAACAAAGTCTGTAAAGTCATCGATGAAAGACTTATTAAATTTTGGGGGGCGATAGACTAGAGCACACAGAACTGGAACGTCGGCATTTAAAACAAAAGTCTGTAATTCAAAGCTCGAAAATGAGTTTGTTTGTACTTGTCTACAGTTAAGACTTGACTTGAAAACTGAAGCCAGCCCTCCACCTCTGCCGGTGCTACGTGGGGTGTTTAAGAACGAACAATCCGGGGGTGTAAGCTCGGAGAACGGAGCGCACTCACCGACTTGCAGCCAAGTTTCACACATAAGAAATATATCCAACTGGCGTGATATGAAGAAGTCGTTGAGGATGAACGTCTTATTAGTGAGGGATCTGGTATTGAGGAGGCCAAATTTGAGAGTTTGCTCCTCATGGCCCAGTACAGAGCAGCGTTTCAACTCCCGGAGGCATCCCTGGACCACACCGCGGCTGTGCCTGCGGCGCCTGCGCAGCGGTGCCTCCAGCGGCAGGTGACGTGGCGCGGCGCTCAGTTCGCCGGGGTTTAGGAGCTGAATCCACCGCAGACCCGGTACTCTGTGAGGTGCCGAGTATCCATTTTCTCGGGCATAAGGTTTAATCCAATTTTCAGACTTCCACTGTGATCGAATTCTCACCAGTACTCCACCTCGCTTTCCGCGTCTTCGAGGCCGCTTCCTCCTCAATTTCACTGGCGTGCGCCACAGGTAGGTGGGCACTAGTGCCAGGTGAGGAGGGGGGTTGCAGTTTTTGTCATAAAATTCGTGATTTGACAATGATGAGCAAACAGTTCTGATATGAAGCAATGCTTGGCGATCATACACGAGTAAAGCAGGGGTCACTTGGCACAAACCACAAAGTAAAACTGTTATTAGCGTTAAAGAGAGGAGACGAGGCAGACGGCTGGCCATACATCTAGGCGCCATCGCCATCGTCATGGTTTGATTTTATTTAACATAAAATCCTTCTTTTCAGACCCCTTTAGTGTAAGTAACTTTGTCTAGAAATGGAGGAGTGAAATTGATTTCAGATACACAAACCATAGACTGAAATAAATGCAACTCAAAAACCTTTTTAAATCTTGTGTCTGGTATAATTGGTCACAACATGCAGGGAATTATATTAGACTGTACTCCATCCATCCATCCGTCCGGCCATCTGTCCATATCAAAAGCCAGACTCTCTCCCTCTCTCTCTCTTTGAGATCAGTTACTAACCTGTTTTCTGTCTCTCCAGTAATTGTCTCTCAGAGTGTGTGGTGAAGGACAGACGGATGGTCTCAGGCTGTTGTTGCTATTGACCCCTTAGCGTCCGTCTTTCTCTCTGTTAACCATCACTGCTTTCTCACCACATACCCGTGTGTTTGTGTGTGTTCTGGGAGTGATAAAGACCTTGGGTTGTGAGGTGTGTGTGTTCTACTCCTCTGATAAAGCCTGTGTATTGTGGTGTGTGTGTCGGCAGTACGGTGTTTGTGAAGGTGTGCGGTGATTAATCTGTGTGTTGGTGTCTGGAGGGGACGGCAATTAATTTTACCCTGCGTGGGAGGAAACTCTTTTAGCCCTCAAGACTCTCTCTCTCTCACACACACACACACACATACACACACACACCTTCCACAGCTTCTGT